TGTCTCTGCCTGCATGACCCTTTGCGTCACCTGCTTGATTGTTTCCTATCAGGCTGGGCCTGGATCTCCCTCCATCTGTGTGCAACCATTGTCCCAGGTTCTCCTGTTAGCAGATCCCAGGTCCACCCCGGCAAGTGCGTAACCCGACATCCTATTTTGGATGCAAACGGGACTCTTGCTCCTGGGATGCAGACCTGTTTACCTAAATACCAGGGCGTTTAGGCAAACATAACTTCAGTCCCACACAATAGGTGGACGTTCTCCCCAAGGGAGAAGCATGTCATTAACGATATAATGGTGGGGTGATCTCCCACAGGACATCATGGCCTCTCAGTTAATCTTATGAAGATGGCGAGCTCCGTGGGATAGGGACTGTGTTTCTGTTCTGTGTTTGTACGGACCCGGATCCCTGACTGGTGCTACTGCAGTACAAATAGTAAATAATAATCAGTCCACGTGAGCCATTTTAAACCTTGACTGGACAAAGCACTGCAAATCTACTGCAGGGCACAATCTCAATGGGGAATAGCATCAGGCTAGATAGCACTCAGTAGGGTTTCTAGCTGGCCTGGATTTTCTGGGAATTGTCTTGATCTTTCTCAGGGTTGCATCTAGCAACCCCCCTCCATGGGGCTCCGTGAAATCAATGCCTTGGCAGAGAGTTAGGTGTAATGCAATGTTGTCACATTACTTATTGTGCTAGGCTCTGTACAGATTCATCGTAAGAGACAGGCCCTGCCCTAAATAAAGGACAGCGGAATATTTTCCCTAGAGAGGCTAAGTGACCTGCTCTAACTCATATTGAGAGTCTGTGGCAGAATTGGGATGTGAACCCATGTTTCCTGAGTGCCAGGCCAGTGCCTGAACCACCAGACTATTCTTTATTCATGAGCTAGTGATATTTCGATGTGGTGTCGTTGTATTTCATTGCCCACACATTCTAATCCAGCCCACATGGTCGTGTTGCACCGTAGTTGACTAGCATGATGTGGTGGTCCAGTATGCTTTATATGGGTCAGTCAGTAGCTAGGGTTGCATAAACAGTCTACCACTATTGCCAGCTGACAGAGGGCACATCTACAGGGCGGGGGAATCCCGCAGCAGTGACTCTCAGAGCCTGGGTCAGCTGTTTCAGGCTTGCACTCCTGAGCGAAAACGAGCAGTGTAGGTGTTCCAGGCTTCAGTGAAACCCAGCGACGGGGCCGTATCTAAGAGCCCGGGCTCCAGCCTGAGCGGGAACAGCTACACTTCTATTTTTATCCGCGTCGCACAAGCCCGAGTCAGTTGACAGTGCAATTGCTGTTGCAGGTCTTAAAAAAGGAGGAAAAAACGTGGCTGTACCTAGAGTTATCCTTGTAGCTCAAGTGGGTGGCCTTGCGCGGAAGGGGCAGGGTTGAATCCTTGCCGCTGACCCCGGCAAGGAGAGTGTTACATCCGTGTAAATGCTGTGATGTCACCATAAGCCAGTGTCTTGCTAGACGAACTCCAGTCCAGAGCTCCCAGCTCAGAGACTTGCTGTTACTTATTAGGATCTATATAAATAATAATGTTCCAGCCTATAAGGTGAGGAGTCCCAGGTTTTTGGGTACAGAGCACCTCTTTGTAGGCCCTGGTGTGTTAAAGGTGTAATGTAAAGGGAGGAAAGGAGGTTGGGACCGGAGGGCAGTAGAAGGCAAGGAAGTGGCTTATCTTCCAGGGAAGGGGGTTACAGAGGTGGTGGAGGGCAGTCTCCCAATACAGATAATGCCAGTCAGAGGATCAGAGCCTTGTCTCCTTGCTCCACCAGGAGCCCTATTGGGCCAAGTGCTCCATTGTCCTGCACCTCATGCAGTCATTTGCATCGGTGCGAAGCACTACAGACAGTTCTGATTTGGCTCGCAGAGGTGGAAATGACTGCACGAGGCGTGGCGCAGCAGAGACTAGGCTGCCCTGAAGTTTGCTTTAGAGTTTGGGGCTAGAATGAGCTACAGAACCTCCCGCTGGATTGTGCCTGATTTCCATCTGAATCTGCTGGGAAGGAACACGGGGCCAGATATTTTAAAGGGCTGATTCCCAGGCGAGCACCTTAACCACACCACCACTGTTCCTCTGTTCATTGGTTATGTTCCGATGTGATGTCATCCCATTTGGTGCCACTCAGTCTAACGCAGCAGGGTGTATTCAGGCCCCTAACAGTGCAGATAGGTACATAGTGTGATTTACACAGGCACTTGGGGGAATTGGGTGCCTGGGTGCTTTTGAAGATCCCACTAGGCACCTACCTCGATCATGAGGCTCCTAAATACCTTTAACATCTAACCCTTGGTCTATCTCAGGGGTAGGCAACCTATGACACGCGTGCTAAAGGCGGCACGCGAGCTGATTTTCAGTGGCACTCACACTGCCCGGGTCCTGGCCACCGGTCCGGGGGGCTCTGCATTTTAATTTAATTTTAAATGAAGCTTCTTAAACATTTTTAAAACCTTATTTACTTTCCATACAACAATAGTTTAGTTCTATATTATAGACGTATAGAAAGAGACCTTCTAAAAACGTAAAAAGGTATGACTGGCACGTGAAACCTTAAATTAGAGTGAATAAATGAAGACTCGGCACAGCACTTCTGAAAGGTTGCCGACCCCTGGTCTATCTAGGAGGTACATTTTTGGCCCTCACTATAGTATCTGAGCATCTCACAATCATTAATGGATTTATCCCCATTTTACAGATCATTTTCAAATCTCATTCTTTCCCTGGTATAAGGCTATTTGTACCATGTCTCCTTCCTATATCAAACCACCATGAATCTCCTTTCCCTCCCTTTGGAAAGACAGGAAGCAATTTTGGACCAAGGGCGAGGGGACTGGTAATGGGGTAGGTACCCTTTCCCTTTTAGGATGGTGTGTAAATCTCACCCAGGTTGATTATGACCAGAAGCCTCGCAACTGTTCCGTGGCCTATGTGGAGTGAGTATGGTGGGGCTAGTCCAATTCCATACCAGAAAAACCACCAGGCTGCCTGAGTAGAGAAGCTGAGTGACTGGACCTTGGAGATTCAGTTCTCCTCTTTGCTCGTTGATGGGGTTCCTCTAGCGTCTAGGATATTGACAGGCAAGTAGTTTAGGAAGGAAGCTCACCTTGCTACCGTTCATGCTGTACTATCAGCGGCCAGGGCTGTTTATTTTGCATATCTCACCCCTCTGAAATTCATCCAGGGCAAAATGCGGCCCCCTCTGTGGCAGCAGATGCTGCAGATTTGAGGCTGTTCCACAGGGAGATTTGGGGCTCACGGGCAGGGCCCAAGCCTCAGGCAGTCCTGCTCTGTGCACTTCTTCACTGCGGGGCTTTGGAGAGGGGGGTGGAGCTGGTAGATGCGCTGATCCCGCACAAAGCCTGGGGGTGCAGCTGCTGGCTACCTGCAGGCTTGGTGCTGCAATGGGAGAGGGAATGGTTAGCCCTAGACAAAGTGAAAAGAGGAATTTCTAGGTGAGCCGCAGCTTGGCAGAAAGGCTGCGAGCCAGCTGGTGAGATCAGGTGCCCTTGGAGCACTAAACCTGGCCAGTGACTGGTCTTTCCAGGAACTTCAGGGTGCGGGCAGAGCTGATCATCTGCAAGTTTTCAATACCAGCACAGCAGTGGCAATGCAAGGTTCTACCCGCCACCCCAAACGTACCACGCTTGCCAATGTGCCTCAGCTCTGTCTGAAGGGGATCATCTCTCTGACCGAGAGGGGCACATTCAATTCTCTCTCCACGGAGGCTGACAATAAGGGATCCAGTGACAACACCTGGTTTTGTGCTGCTGAGACCTGCTGAACTCGTCTCTCACAAGGAACCCAATAGCCTCCAGATGTTAACAACACTGGGTCACTACCAAAACGATTTGAACGGATGGGTTAGAGGTGAAAGGCTCCATCTGCCATCCCCCTTGAGCTTGCCAGTCCCCCGGCTTCGTTATTTCAAACAGATCAGTGCCTGACATGATTTGTCCCCGAAGTTGAGATGCTTTAAAAAGGAGTTTTTAATAGAATCTCTGTCCTACAGGAATGCCCCCAGGAAGAATTTTTCTTTCAACTTACAAAGGACACATTTGTTTTTCAACTAGTAATTATCCCTTATTGCCACCTAGAAGAAGGATGGTCTTGTGGCTGAGGTGCTGGGCGAGGACCCGGGACATCTGGTTTCCTGCCTCCACCACACACTCCTGGTGTGCCCTTATGCAAATAATTTACTCTCTGTGCCTTGGTTTCCCATCAGTAAAAGGGGGATAATAATTGTTCCTTTGTCTATTTACATTGTAAGCACTTCAGGGCAGGGATTGTCTCTCACCATGTCCCAGCACAATAAATCCCAATCTTGGGAGGGGCCAGAGATGCTACCATAACAGGTAATCTCGAAGGCCTAGCAGGCCTACTGTATCTGTGAGCCAAGCCAATGGAAAGTGGATAAAGGTTCATGAATTGTTACAATGACCTGTTACATAAAACTGTTTTAAGAAAAGATTTAAGGAGACAGAAAGACTGAATTAATTTCAGCAGAGGGGGCTTACTGATATTACCCAAGGACTGCATTAAGATTATGACCGGTAAACAAGGGGAGCAGCGGACCAGAAATTAATAAGCCAAAACTGGTGCTTTGGAACTTAGGCCTAATTGGTGGGCGAAATAAGGAGAGAATGAGCCGTTCCACCCATCACGCTTTTTGGGGCACTAAAAAGAGGCTTGGGAGGAAAGGGAACTGCTACAACCATTGTGGCTGCAGTATAGGGATTTTTACCTTGGTACTCCATTGGGGACGCTTGGCCACCATCGCTGCTCCAGTGGGGAACCCAGGCTCACACGAGTGAGATCCTGCTCTGTCTTCCCCTCCTTCATGTGTCTTTCTGTCCCCCACTATATTCCTTCTGTCTTCTCTCTCTCTCTGCTTTTTACTTGATCTTGAAGTCAACTGTACCACACTGCAGACTGACATAAGGCAGTCTATTCAGTCCTGCAAGGCCTGAGATGGACTGGGAGAGGGACCTGACCAGATCAGTGAGATGATTGGAGGTGAGGCGGGGTTGAGAGCATCCATTCCTGACTGACCTGCCACCCTGTACCCTAAAACCATGGACAAAACTGTATTTTCCCCATGTTGCCCTCCTCTCCCTTCTGTGTTGAGGCTATCATTTCCAACTCAGAACTGAACTCCAGAACTAATCCTTTTCCCCCCACCAAGGACTGTCTGACAGAATAAAAGTCTTTAACCAGTATTCGTCCTCTTTAAAAAGCGGTTTTGATTAAATTTGTTTTGCATAATCACTCAATCTCAGTTCCAACGCCTTTTGCCGCCTTTTGATTCTTTTCCTTTTGTGTGTTTCAATCAATACATTTCTAACCTTCGGCGTGAATTTCCTAGCATGTTTGCCATGGTACTAAGCAGGCTCTGTATACCAAACCCCAGAGGTTATTTAACACTGTTTTATGTGGGACAGTGACAGACAGGGTCAAGTTAACAGCTTTAACTCTTTGGGCCCATATATTCCATCTAAATTAATATAACAAGACTCACCACTGGCTCGCCCCCTCATCGCTGGATATGACATAGCAGCTCTTTCCTCGGTAGCACTCCCTGCCAGTGATCACTCCAGTCCTGCAGTGGGTTGCCTTTTGCTGCAGTTCAGCTCTTCAGACAGGCCATGTTTTTAATTCCACCCCTTCCAGGGTAACAAAGTCCATTGTCCTCACGTGTGGTCCTCAGTCCAAACTCTCAGCCCCTTGGCCTTACCACCCTTCGCTCAAGGGTTTAAATCATCCTTATCCCCTTTTGTCGGGGGGGCGGGGGAGGCTTCATGCCATCTTCCCACTGGCTGTTTGGGAGAACCCAGGCCCCGCCATTTGCATTATCCCTTCCTCACCTCTTCCTCCTGCTCTCTGCTTCATGCTTTCCATCATGCTGCCCCCTAGGCCGGGACACTTTTCTGCCAGGCACCTGATCCGTCCTTTAAACCCATCTCTTCAAGCAACCCACCTCTTTTTCACCACTAATCTCCTCTCCCAACGTTACGTTCAGGAGCTGGACCTTCAACGTGCTGAGAGGGGCTTCGCTTCCCTCGTCTGCAGTCGGGGTCCCGTTATTCCCCCATGGGAGTCAATGGGATGAGGCCTGTTAATGTCAATGGGAATGACGGGTCGCCCCTCGGCGCATTAGGCAGGCTGAATCCTGCGTTGCCATGGGAGCCGTTTAATCCCCCTCAGGGCCCAGGCAGTGTGTAGGGAAGAGGGCAGGGTTCTCAGGGTGACATGATGGGACACCTGGCCTGGGGGAGAGGGGGAGAAGGGGACCGGGGGCACAAGCCATTGTGGGGCAGAGGGCAGGTGATTTCCTGAGGCCTCTACATGCAGTGTTTATGTGGGGGGCAGGGGTGGGGGCCTCTCCCCAGTGTGTGGCTGAGAGGGGTGGGGCCTCTCCTCCCCTCTCCCAGTGTGTGGCTGAGGGGGTGGGGTCTCTCCCTCCCCCTCCCAGTGTGTGGCTGAGGGGGTGGGGCCTCTCCC